CCATCTTCTTTTGATGCTTTCTGCATCATTCAATAATTTGCCCAGAGAATCTTTCAATAACGAAAGTCAAGGCTTGAATTTTTTCTTTAGTTCCCCCAGCTTGAGAAATGCTGAGCGTGTTCTTCCTTTTTGGTTTTCTGATTCCAGATCTTTTCACATTTTAACTAAAGTGTGCCTGACTCAAGCCATGGTATTTTTCATTGTTTCATATACATATGAAAGTTGGACAAACAATAAGGAAGATCATGGAAGAATCGATGCATTTAATCTTTGATGTTGGTGAAGACTATCAAAAGTGCCATGGAGTTCTAGAAGAACAAACAAATCTGTTTTGGAAGACGAACAATGAGAATGCTCCTTAGAAGGCAGGATAGCAAGACTTGAGTTTCTTGTTCTTTGGATTTGTTAGGTGGGAGAAGTGCATTTCCCTGGAGAAATCCATCATGCTTGTTAAGTGGAAGGTCAAAAAGAAAAAGATCCACAAGGAGATGGATTGACACAGTGGCAGTAACAGTGGGCTCAAACACAGTAATTGTAAGGATGGCGCTGGGCCTGGCAGTGTTTCACTCTGTGGTCCATAGGGAGGGTCGCTCTAAGTTGAAACTGACTTGAGGACATCTAACAACAACAACAACAACAACACTTGTTGTTAGGTGTCGTCTAGTGAGTTCCGATTTGTAGACGCTCCATGTACCACAGAAGGATACACTGCCCAGTCCTGTGCCATCCTCACCCTCAATGTTGTGTTGGAGCCCATTGTTGCAGCCACTGGGTCAGTCCATCTCATTGAGGGGCTTCCTCTTTTTCACTGGCCCTGTAACTTTACCAAGCAGGATGTCCTTCTCCAATGACTGGTATCTCCTGATAACATGTTCAACATATAAGAGGTAAATTCTCATGATCTTTCCTTCTGAGGAGTCTTCTGACTGTACTTCTTTCAAGACAAATGTATTTGTTTTTCTGGTTGTTGCTGTTAAGTGCTGTAGAATTATTTCTGACTCAGAGACTCTGTAAGTATAGGGTTTCAGAGGGGCAGCTGGTGAGTTTGAACTGCCAACCTTGTGGTTCAACACGGCCTTATGGTCAAGTGCTTCTCCTACAGTCCCACACCAGGACTCTGGTTTTCTGATGTCGTTGTTAAGTGCTGTTGAGTCAGTTTCAACCTAATAGTGACTCTGTCAAGGGTTTCCAAGGATCGTCTGGTGGGTTTGAACTCCCGGCCTTGTGGTTCAAACTGACCTTGCTGTCTAGTACATTGTCCTGCAGTACCACAGCAGGACTTCATGGATTGGGTCAGACCCACCGTAGTCCTCAAAGTGACATCTTTGTTTTTCAACACTTTAAAGAGAGGTCTGTCGCGGCAGATTTGTCCAATGTGTTACGTCATTTGATTTCTTGACTACCGTTTTCATAGGCATTGCTTGTGGATTCAAGTTAAATGAAGTGTTTTAAAAACTGCATTTTTTTCTCCAATTTATCATGATGATTCTTACTAGCCCAGTTGGATATTATCCTTCATGGTAAGGGGTCAGCAAAAAGTGGACGCCCCTCAATAAGGTGGATTGACACAGTGGGTGCAGCAATTATGAGCCTGGGGCAGAAGTGGGAAGTGTTTGGCTCATTTTCCAGCAGTGTATAATCTGACAATGTTTTCCTGCT